TAATAGACATTCCCTCTCGGGAGCGGGTACAGGGTTGTGTATTTTTTATATTTTTTAAAGTGAAGACAGTGGGTCTTTTTTTTTTTTTTTTAATTCGCAAAAATCCTCCACTATACCTTAAGTTCTGTTAGTAAACACTCTTAAACTTGCTAGTTTTCCATTTTTGAGAAATCCATCCATTAAAAGAAGGTATATTTTTGTAGCTCATTCCAAAAAAGGTTCTTTAAGTTAAATATCTCTAGTCGTTTTTTCTTGTAATTTAATAAATTTGGCTTCCAGATAAGGAAAACCCCAAAGTACACTAGAGTCCTGCAACGGGTCGGGTACCCGCAGGTCCCCGACGGGTCACCCGCTAAAATGCTCTTTTGCGGGTGAAAAATACATAAATAAAAATAAATAGGTCGGGGTTCGGGCGGATATTTTTTTAGTGCGGGCGGGTAGTTGGTGATTTTTTTTTTTTATGCGTGTCTATTGTTATGGACATCAGAAATGTTATATTAATCAGGCACTGGGGTCACCCTTGTTGTAGCTTAAAGCCCTGCCGGCAGTGTGGGCTTCCCTCCAAAAAGGCCAAAGTCAGTGCATACACGTCTGCAGCAGTGTTAATGGCGCTGTTCTGCAGCGCCGCGTACTATAGCCTATTACTTGATGTGTTTAACGGGTCGGGTTGCGGGTTAAATATCAACGGGTCGGGTCGGGTTCGGATTTGAATTGAAGATATCCGTGGGTGACGGGTCGGGTTCGGTAGTCATCCTAACGGGTTCGGGTGGGTGCGGGTTGGTAAAACTTGACCCGTGCAGGTCTCTAAAGTACACTATATCAGATTCTGTGTGTGTAACATAAGATCACTAAAAATTGTTGTTTTTTTTTATCAGGCTCTTGAAAAGCACGCTCATTTCTCTCCATTTAGCTTCACTTCCTGCTTCAACTTGGTGTGGTGTGGATGCAACTAAATATCCAACCAGAATTATTCCAGAAAATCTAGAATAGTTGCAGAGGGCGTAGGGTTGGGGGTGATTTGTTGACGGCCAAAATGAAATCCAGGACAAGGTTTTCTGTGTATTTAAAGCTGTAGGTCTACATTTGACAGCATGGCTCACAAAAAAAATATCTTTTTGCTCAAACCTTGCACAAAGCTGGTTCTTATAAAATTCACTTGTATTTATATAATGACTCAATGTAAGACAGTGTGTTAAATAAATAATAAAAAAGCCACACGAGTCCAAAGTAGTGATCATGATGACTTTATTCAAGCTTCTTCTGAAAATGAACCAAAGCATGGTTGCATATGCTAGAGATCAGTTTGTTTATATTCAGATTCTGTTTAATTTTCATGCAACCTGTTGTTTTTCTGCAGATCTGTGACTTTGGTTTGGCTCGCGTGGCTGATCCTGATCACGACCACACTGGGTTTCTAACAGAGTATGTCGCCACACGTTGGTACAGAGCTCCAGAAATCATGCTTAACTCCAAGGTGAGACTCTGCAGCTTCTGCTTATGTTTTAGTTTTTACAGTTCCCTTCACTAGATGCTTTAAAATGTGTAGTGCGTGTATCTGGCACACGGTTTACTTTTCATCTTTACATTTGGGCTTCTTATTGAGGTTTAGTTCAGTTCAGGATGTTTCCTGGCTGTTACGTCGCGCTGATCTGTGTTCACTCTTTATTTCATTATGTTGTTGTGAAGCTATGAATCTGTGTTTAGCTAGTAAGAAATAGTCCCTCACAGTTTTGTTTTTGTTAGCTTGATCCAAATCGATGCAAAATGTATTGATCATTATTTTATGTAATACTTGAGTTATTATCCTTTGTTACATTGATTTTTGTCAATGTTAAACAGCTCATAATATTTTATTAACTCAATTTAGTTGCGAGTTACAAACCCAACTATTTAATCCTTATATTTACTGTAAATATTTTGGTAATAATGGTTGTGGTTGATGTTACTTTCAGGGCTATACAAAGTCCATAGACATCTGGTCGGTGGGGTGCATCCTGGCTGAGATGCTGTCAAATAGACCAATCTTCCCTGGAAAGCACTACCTGGATCAACTCAACCACATTTTGGGTAAATATTGTTTCTATATCCAGAGTCCCAAAAAAATATTGTTTCCCTTTTGGGTGTTCTTACAGTTTTCAAACTGAAAATAAGACACTAACGGTAGGTTTCAAAGGCAATTTCAAGTAGCCGGGGCTTTCTTTGTGAAACGTGTCCCAACAAAAGCTCTCATTGGGATAACTGGTTCTTAGAAGGGGAGGGGGTATGATGACTGGGGTGTGACTCGATTAGCTCATGCTTTCTCCTTTAGAAAATGTTAAGCTGTGTCAACTAGGAGAGCTTGCATGTCTACCCCCAGGCATTCACCCTGTCCACAAACCCATAAAGGAATTCAGCTCCTAAAACTAGCTTTAGGCTAAAAATTGTAAAGACCGTTAAAACCAAGCCCTGCTTGTGTTGCTAACAAGGGAAAATGGGTTTTATTGCATTGTTGTTTTATTCTAAAGCTGATCGACAGAAAAGGAGAAAATGCTTGTTATGCTGAATGTAGACATGAAAGTTGGGTAACTAATGTGTAGATGGACCATTCTTAACTTGACAAAGTTGTAATTCAATTATTAATTTAGTTTGAGCATAGATTAAGTCCTAAGGTTTTTGTTTTTATACTGAGCCTAAAATGTTATCGATTGTGGACCTATAAGAGATCTGACAGCAGCTGAACCTTGCATTAACCCCGGATTCACAGCATAGATCCGTTTAATTTTATGACCAGCAAAAGATTGAGGAAAAAAAAAAAAAAAAAACTTGGAATGACACCCCTATGGCTTTTTTTCAAAAAAAAAAAAAAAAAAACTTGGAATGACACCCCTATGGCTTTTTTTCACATAGTTATAAAACGTCATAATCACTTTAGTTTCTAACCTCCTGCAACCCTACTTTGGAGGTTTCTACCAGACTTCTTGAGCAAAAATTAGCTGCTTCCTGTTTTATTTTGGTCAACATTAAATCATTTTCTTTTTGACAATAATGGTAGAACATTTCTATGATTATTTCATTGCTCCAATAAATGTCTCCCAACAAAAATCAGCTCATATAGTTCTTATAGTTGGATCACAAATCAAATATTATGGAGAAATTTGTATATAATATGCATTTATATTATTATAATGGAGATATGTTTTTTATTTTTATAACAAATCTCTATAATTGATCCAAAATCAGAACTACACAGGAAATTGCATCAGCATATTGCACTCCATTTTGGGAAATTTGCATGTTTTCAAAAGAAAAACGAGGCTTTGTTGGGCCAATATATACAAATTTAAAATATATACATACATACAAATATATATAATTGAAAAATCTTCCTGGATGGGAAGCAAAACTTCCCATCTAGGACGCGTCTTCAAACTGGGAAACAAAGTTCAGTGGATTGTTTTTTTTTTTGTTTTTTTTTTTACTTTTTTGGAATGGATGACTGAGAATCTTTACCAACATACACAGAAGAAGGAAACTGATCCACTGTTGTTTATTTGTGGTTAATGTTTTTCTAACATTTCCCCCTAAAAATGCAAAACTATGAATCTAAAAGAAGGAAATAAAGGCTTCTAAAGTGCGCCGATGGATGCTTCATGGGTTTTTTTCATAATGCAACCAATCAACCAAAGGCCCTTTACAGTTCAGCATCCTGTGGTTGTATTAATAATTACTTCTGTCAAATCAAAGCAAAGTCTTTACATTTAAGCTGAAATATTCTTTTTTTTTCATTTCTTAATCCATGTTTTTTTTTTTTTCCAGTCTTGATGTAGCTTATGTAGAGTTTGGTTTCTCTTCCAAATAAATAAAAATCAGTAATAGACGTTCTAACAGCAACTAGCACATCATTTAGCTGATAATGCGCATCATTGCTGTTCCGCCTTTTCAGGTATGAACAAGACTTCGAAAAAACTAGCCTTGTTATTAAAGAGCAATTTTAAAAGTGTCGCCAGATTGAGCTACAGTATAAATCAGTACTCTGTGTTGTCTTAGTTCTGCAATAAATATTAAAAAACAACTCAGACTTGATGCAGGATTTCACACCAGGGGCAGCTTGTTGGTTTTCATCCACAGACAATGCTGCCCTTATCTAGTCAGGCTCATTTGGTGCTAGACCAAATATTGCTTCCCCCATCTGCCTCTGTGATTTGTTAGTTAATTTTTTTTTTTATTGGAAAGTCTGTTATACAACTCAAATGTTTTTGCCAGACCTCTATGATTCAGTTTCCACATTTAAAGCAAGCATGTGCTGACAGTTTACCTGATTGCCCCCCTCCCTCAGGGGTCCTTGGCTCTCCCAGTCAGGAGGACCTCAACTGCATCATCAACATCAAGGCCAGGAACTATCTGCTGTCGTTGCCCGTGCGCTGCAAAGTGCCATGGAATCGCCTCTTCCCCAACGCCGATGGAAAAGGTCAGAGGACGCACCAACGCTCAGTTTTGGAGTATAGCTTTAAATTTTAAATGAAACATTTTGAATTTATCAGAATTCTTTTTTAGAATAAACATGACAGTGCTGCTACTCAATGGGACGTTAAAAAGGAGTAAAATCTGAAAGTTGGGTGTATAAAAGGATTGAAACTACAGCCCAGCTATGTGCTTCAGATTTTATTGGTTTGATTTCATGTGGACTGTTTTGCACAGAAGCTCCTCCTGTCAGACACACAGTAGCTCAAACTGGTTGTCTAATCAGCTTCTGTGCTTCCTGAACAGTTTGCAAAACAAAAATATACATTTATCTTCTGTGTAACACAGTAAAGTCATGTTCTAAAGGGATTATTTGGGCCATGATGCCAGAGAGGATGCAATGGCATCCCCTAGTGTTTACCTGCAGGTACTGCTATTGTTAAATGATGTGGCTCTGCTGCAGCTCTGGACCTTCTGGACAGGATGCTGACGTTTAACCCTCACAAGAGGATCGAGGTGGAGGAGGCCCTCTCTCACCCCTACCTGGAACAATATTATGACCCGTCAGATGAGGTGAGACTGCAGATTGAGCTTTCCTGTTGTTCCTATGGTTACATCCTTTTTAACTATTTTTACCAGTTTGTATAGCTGCATCATCATGTTATCTTGTTTAATTTAAACATATCTTCTGTGTCCTGTGAAGCCTGTTGCTGAGGCGCCGTTCAAATTCGACATGGAGCTGGATGATTTGCCCAAAGAGACTCTGAAGGAGCTCATCTTTGAAGAAACTGCTCGTTTCCAGCCTGGCTTCAGGTCTTAATGGCTCTCACAAGTATGTATGCATCTGATCTCAATCCCTGAACCCCTCAGAATCCTCTGGAAGAAACCCTTCTCTGTTTAATTTGGAGAATATTTTGTCTGTAAATCGTCTGAAACCCTAAAAATAAGCGGAAATGAAAGCTGCTGTTAAAAATGAAAGCAGAGATCTTCCCGAGCATTTAAATCAACTCATCGACCTCTGTTTAGAAATAACAAGCTTATATAATCACTTTAACCTTTCTTCAGCATCTGAAATAATCAGCCATAGCAAAGGGAAACAGTTCAGCAAACATCAGGCTTTAGACCAACTTTCTGTTCAGTCTTTAAACATTATAGAAACCCTTAAAGTCGTAGGAAAGTCAAATTTAAATTTCATACCATTCTGGCTTAGACATGTTTATAAATGTACTCTTTATCAGACCATATTGTCCCAAAAGTTAGAAAATTTCTATTTAAAAAAATTCTGTCTTAAAATCTGTGGTTTTTTTCATTAGTTTATGCAGGCCAGTTGGTTATATGTCAGCCTGTACACCTAAATTCGTCCAATTATATATCAATGGTCATCTTTCAATCAAATTTTTTCAGTCATAGCGCCTTGATTCATATGTCACAGCTAAGATACGCAACGGTTGAAATAAGAACCATTTATTTTACCATTGAGTTCCGTCCCAGTGTTCACGGGGATGGACGTCTGTGTCTTCAGCAGGCGTAGAGCTAACAGAACTGGCAGTGTTGTGAGGCAAGGGCTCAAACATGGACGGCTGTAAGCCTTCTACACCAAACCAAGCTTCTGCCGCCCTGGCGTCCTCTTCCACAAAAACTACCTCCCCGCTTTCCTCCTCTAAATAAACATATGACAGAGGAAACTCATCCACGACCTCTAACACAAAACTCTCCTCCTCTTGCATGTTTCTGCTGTCCCAGCGTTCCTTGACAGTGTCGTTTCTAAGTCACCAATTTTATGCTACTTGGTCCCAATGTAATTTCCCATAGGGAAGCTACTAGCATTAAGTCGCTAACTGGTTCGCAAGATGCTTCCGAGACAACAGCCACAACCAAACTGCATGCAAACCTTCAGCCACAGCAATCCCGCCCCTTTGATAAACGACTGATCACATTCACTTTATTAGCTAGTGTAAAGTAGGACACCACTCGGGAGAATTCGAAACTGCAACCGTTGGAACAGCCGCTTCCCTACGACTTTAAGCACTTGATAATAATTTTACACTTTAGTATCAGCAGGTTTTCAAAGGTTGGTCCTAAAAAATGTTTCCCCCATGAGAAACCCTCCTCCTTTCGAACATGCATGAGATCAAAGCCTCTTTCCCACTGAAATTAGAAGGTTAACGCAGGTTTTTCAAACAGGTGGACCGGCTAACAACATTTAGTTCCCTTCCTATTGGCCAAAAAAAAAAAAAAAACTGGTTCTGACCCACTATTTTTCCAAGGTCGACATGGATCAGTGAGCTGATCCCACTGCCACAAAAAGCTGATTGTTCCGGGGTTTAAAAGTTTTTTTTTTTTTGGTTTTTTTTTTTTTTTTTTTTGGCCATTGGGGAAGGGGTAAAAGTTATATTTTATTTAATTCACTGCCTCTTTAATCACATTGTGAGGTATGTTGGCAGATAAATTTTCTGGGTGTTGCTCTGTGAAAAAACTAAAAATTAAGTTTAGTAGGGAAGGAATTAGGGCTGAAGCAATCAGATTAATTAATTATTGAAATGATCGTTGGCTAATTTAGTAATCTATTAATCATTAACTGGAGTATAGAGACTCTAAAATGTGCCTTTAGCTGACAGAGCGACCCACTTAGAGCAGGAATTATACCAAGATTGTAAAAATATATATATATGAAAATTTTGCATTTAGTTTAAAAATATATATTTTTTGTATGTCAATATGCTCTACCCAGAACTCCTCAAGTGGAAAAGTTTTAGTTTTACCTGGTTTAATTTTGTAAAAAGTCGTTTTTACTGAACCTTTAGCTATCCGATTATTAATCGATGAATCGAAAAAATAATCAACAGTAATTTGATTTGCTAAATAATTGTTAGTTGCAGCCCTAGAAGGAATAAGCACTTTTTCTAACTGCTTTAGTTAGTTATATGATCCTACCTGGCCGTTCCTGGACGTATCGGCCCAGTTCTGTCTGACGTAAAAGGGAACCAAAGAGAGCAAAGCAGAAACCAATGTTTGCAAACCTGAAATGGTAAAATCAAAGCTAAACAGCCAGCTCTCGAACAGGCTGAGCTTTAGTTTTCTACACTGTTTTTACGGACTTCATTTATCTACATTTCAAAACAGGGAAAAAAAAGATTTTTGTTTCTGACTAAATGAATGTTTAACTCATTGGTTTCGTCCCCCCAGGTGATTCTGCGGACAGGCTTCTGCGTCGCCACTGCTCCTCCCCGCCTCCACTCTGTTGCTGTGATTTTTGTTTTTGGGTGTTTTTCTTTTGTTTTGTTTTTTTGTGGGGGGTTGCTTTGTTTTTTAATTCTTCTCTTTCACACCGCCTGGATTCCTCCGGTCTCTCTTTTTCTCTCGGCAAGTCCACTTTGCTCAGGAATGGCGTCAGGAATCAATCAGTCATCCTCTGTCTCCCCTTTGTTTCTCTCTCGGCAGAGAGGTGAGGTAAAGGGAGGGAGGGTTGGGAGTCACATCACAGCTTATAGTTTGGGGGTTGATTTTGTGTTTGAAGCCAAAATAAACAATGTTTTTTTTGTGTTTATATGTGTATCTAAAAAGGCATTTGGCTCTTATGATTTAAAACCTTTTTTTAATGATAACCTTGTTAATCTTTGTTTTCAGTGCAGCTGCTTTGCACACAAAAAGTCCATCATTCAGACAAAATAATTTCTTACCTTTTTTTGTTTTTTAGTTGCACTGTTACAAAATGATGCAGTGATCTGTCTTTTCTTTCTCTTTCATTAAGAAAATTTTGAATTAATTCACCTGATTTATGCAATTATGACAGAATGAGCCAGAGGTTACTGGACTCAAGCCATCACTTGCTGTCGATGAGGATGTATATTTTATCAAACTTGTATTTTAATCTCAAACATACTCACACAGAA